AGGGTCGGCTGCAACCAGATGGCTCCATTGCTGCTCGAGGATCTTCATCGCGCCGGCCATCTCATACTTCCACATGGCGTCCCGGATCTTCTCCAACACGAATAACTCCTCCACGGCAATGCTCGCGTCCGAATACTCTGGGCGGCAAAGGCCGATGAGGATCCTGAGTGTCATGCTGTCCTCTGGAAACAAAAGGACAGGAAGACCGTCAAGCGTAAAGCTAGCGCCAGCCTTCTGAGACCCCTCATCCCCGGCTATCATTCTCCCAATGATCGGGGACGCGAGCGTGAGCAGGACCTTGTGCGAGGGAAAGTCTTTCCCGTCTGATGATCGGCAGATGATGTCTGCTAGGGAGTGTATGCGCTCATTGAGGGGATAGTTCGATTCCGAATCGAGCCCATTGGTCGTTGGTGGAGGTAGAGAGTCGACTGGGACGATTGGGGGATTGCAGAACTCGAAGCCCTCCTCGACTTTGCCTGCCAAGCGTTGGTAGCGCAAGAGACGATAGTACGCGCCACCTGTCACATATTGCATCTCGGGCGGGAACGAGTCGAGGATGGTGAGATTCTGGCCACAGATCTCGTCTGCGGCGACTCGAGCCTCCGTTTCGAGCCGGTTGCTGACCGCAACTGCCCAGGCCCGGAGGGGCTTCTGAGGTATGAAGGAGCGTAGCTTCGTACCCGTCAGCCGAGTCGCTTTCACCATGTCATACTTCAGTGCTGCAGCAAGGACAGCAGAGAGTCTCGGGAAGTCGTCCAAGACCGGATCTTCCTGGGGAAAGACGATTCGAAGAAGGCTATCCAAGGTGTCGCTGTCCTCCTGGACTGGGACAACCGGACAACCATCTCGGAGCTCGTCATCCTGTGCGTGAGGTCCGCCAACCGCTTGAGGCCGCGTGTGACCAACCGCGACCATGTCAGCGAACACTGGGGAGGCAAACCGCAAAATGTCACGCAAGACGAGGAAGTCAACTCCGTCGCTGGAGCGCAGAATGAGGTCGGCGTTCGGGTCGTCGAAAGGCGGCGATGCATAGGGCGGTGTATTCGAAGCAAGTGATGCCATGGCAAACTTGCGCGTGTGGGCTGTATAATAGAGGATGTGGGTGGAGATGCAGAGCGAGGACTGTGGGATGGGAGAGAAAGAGCAACACCGGGCACATGGGAGCACGTACAAAACACGCTGCGCAGAAGAGTACCTGTTTTGGCAGTCGTATCAGTTATAGCTGAACGTCTGATGCCTCGTGGACGTACCGAAGGGAAGCCTTTACGTCTGTACACCACGAGACATATATGCCGCATGCTCACCGCACAGGCAACCTCAGGCTAGACCTCAAGCCCGTGGTCCCCGTCCCGATGCACCATGTTCTCATGCTCAAGCTCCTGTCCGAGGTGGCGGAGAATCTGCCCGAAGATGATGATGCTCGTTGTGGCAAGAGGGGTTACTAGCTGCGTGAGATGAGGCGTGAACCTAGTTGCACCGTAGCACGATTAGATGCGCGTAGTTGAGTCGACAGTCTCGGCAGCGGCAGGGATCATCGTGCGAAGCAGCCACCACAGGCGCGAGCGCATGCATTGGAATACATGTGGTATTTTACCACCGTCAGAGCATTTTGTTCGGGAGAGTGAGGTCCAGCTGATTACAAAGATAGTAGCGAACATGGCCTTGGGTCAGTCCATCTCATCGAGGTACAGCCATACACGTTAGCGCCATTGGCCAGCTCTGCGGAGACAATTGTGTCAGTGCGATCGATGGGAAAGACGGAAAGTGGCAACGTACCCTGAGCGTACTTGATTACCATGACATGTCAGTGGAACAGCCCGCTAATGTGGTTGAAAGACGAGAAGATGCGCAGAAGTTAGTGCAACACTTTATATGTGCTGCCAGGTGGCCATCGACACCAAGGCTGCGCGCCCTCAGGAACCCGGGAATAGGATGCTACGGAGGACGTCGACAAGGTGCTATCCCTAGATGCTAGTCGGATATAGCCCGTAGCTTTCACAGAGCCACACGTGGTTCATGAACAGTACTGTAGTGAGCTAATCACTGTATTCCATCTGCATGGAATGCGCCAGAAGCGTCAACGAGGGCAAACAACGGAGATGATAGATCTTCCGTAAACCCTTATATCTCCCGTCAACGAAATGGGAAAGCTTATCCGTCGACTCCTGTGATGCATAAATTCAGTCGAACAAATCAGAAGGAGAGCACACCGTCGAGAATGTAGGAGTCAGCTTTGATCTATAGTCCTAGTTTGGTTGGTAAGCTGTCCAATTGTTAAACACCGCCTCAAGAGTGTCGCCCCGTCACGCAATCATCCCACCGACCAATCGAACATTTGGACGAGTCGCAATGAAGGATAATTCACGCGATCGACTGTAGCCGTCTTGGTGTGGTCCCATGGTACGCTTCGTGCTGCTGGAACCCGTCGATAACAACAGAGGCGCTTCCCAGGGCCGCTTCACGACGCTGTGCTGGCTTGCGCCCTCTAAAGTCTCTGCTAGCTCTATCCTGGGAGCTGACGGCTAAATTACAGTTGGAAGGTGATAGTCAACATGACAAGGACGCAGCGATGCTGACCCGCAAGGATATTGCATTAGGAAGGAACGAGACGCAAAGGTAATACTTGCCATACCATCTTCTACCGCTTTGGCCTCGACGTCACCTCAGTGGTTCGCCTGCAGCCAAGGGAGAATCTGCAGTTTCTCCTTGTCCCACTATAGCCCATGAATTAGTTCAGTGAGGCGGCGAGCACAGACCCTCCAGATGACATGGAACTCACCACTCCGGACTGGTAGTAGACATCCGACTCGATGATTTTCCTCGCAGACTCGATGCTGTCCGCCTCAATCACCATCAACGAACCGACCAGCTTGAATGGCGCGTTCGGAGATGCAATGGATTCCGGCGCAAGCAGCCCACCACCGAGCTCTGCAGCAGCGGCCATTGGAACCCGACCTGATGGAGAGATGATCGATACGCACTCAGAGTCCCGCTCTCATGCATCTTGTTCGCGTTTGCAAGATGAGACTCGCGTACGGCCATGCGGCGGCTGAACGCCTCCGGGTCTGTCATGTCCGGTGCCCAGACGGCGAACTTGTGCAAAGTCGGACCTGAGGTCGAGGACATCGCTGCGGTCTGAAGTTTACGGTTGAGGACAGAAGAGGGACGTTGGATAGGGATGAGTAGGCTGCGAGCTGACAAAGTCCAGGTCGCGAGAGTCATGAGTCACAAGGGTAGGTGTACTACTCAGTGTAAGTTTAGCTGCCTAGTGGTATGGCGGGCGGGCCGGAACCTCATGAACAGAGGAAGATCGTTCAGAACCAGAAGACCGCCAGTAGGTCACGATGTATGCTCAGCTTCCAGATCTTTCCGCGTTCAGCCGATGGCGGAGGGCGAGAACAGTCGTTTCATATCTGCATAGCGGAAGGTGTGAACGGTGAACGCGCTATCACAGTGATTTATGCTCAGGAGAAGAAGGCAAGCACTGGTCTCGTCCCCATCCGTGAGGAGAGTCGCACCCCACCACCGCACTCACCTCTACGTCTGGGACATTTTGATAGGGGAACCCCCCACTGCTCTCATCAGTGCTTATCGGCTGATATCAGCCCCAAATCAGGCCATGTAACGGTCACAATTCGGCGACGGCCTCGAACCAATTTGTAATTGCAGATTGCCTAGTGAGATCTTTACCCATTTATGGAAGGCCACAGCCGTGGCTGGGCACTGAACCACGAAAACCTTCGACTTTGGGTGCACTCGACTCGTCTCCTTCAGTAGTGAGAGCACAGTGTGTTGAGCTGGAGGTTTGTTGCCATGTTCAAGCACGCGATTTGGGTGTCAATGTGTTGTGTTGATGTCCGAAGCGCGTGCGCTGGCTACCCGGGAACGGAGTGGCAGCTCACTACCCGGAACGGGGTGGGAGCTGGCCAGTCACGGCATGGACGCGGACGCGCCGTGCTGCGAGCAGAGCGTGAGATGATGCCGCTGTGGCGTGGTGAATGACGAGCACATACCTGCAAACAGATATCGACCTAGAGCACAAGCCGACAAGGTCCCCGCCGAGCTCGCAAGGGCTACGTACTGGGATAAGTTAGAACACACTGGCAGGTTTTATCAATGTCTTCAGTCACGGCAACTCGAGAACAAAGTGTGAATGGGGCACACAAGAGCGATTCATCTGCATGACAGAGACCCCCACTCCCAAATAAGTTTGCACCACTCATACACACATGGTTGCCCCAGCTGAGTCTGCAAGGCATCCTGCTAGAGTTCCCTTCTGACTTTGCTGGTACTCTAGCACTTGGTGGATGCACTCGCATTTCAATCAGGGGTCACTCCGGTGGCCAAGTCAGAGTCAGCGACAGCATGGCCATCTAATCCGAGAATAACATTTCATAGTAGTATTAACTGGACATCATGGATAGTGTAATTTACACAGTAGGAGGTCAGATGCAACAGCGCTGAGGGAGACGAGTCGAGTGCACCCAAAGTCGAAGGTTTTCGTGGTTCAGTGCCCAGCCACGGCTGTGGCCTTCCATAAATGGGTAAAGATCTCACTAGGCAATCTGCAATTACAAATTGGTTCGAGGCCGTCGCCGAATTGTGACCGTTACATGGCCTGATTTGGGGCTGATATCAGCCGATAAGCACTGATGAGAGCAGTGGGGGGTTCCCCTATCAAAATGTCCCAGACGTAGAGGTGAGTGCGGTGGTGGGGTGCGACTCTCCTCACGGATGGGGACGAGACCAGCAAGCACCACAGCTGAGTCGGCCCAGGCACAGATGTCAGCTCCAAATTAGGTAAGATCATCCTCGCTAGCAGAACACTACGGAGCAAAGATCCCTGTCCGCACAGGTACTTAACTAGAATTTGAAGCTGCTGCAATCGAGTCGACTCCTATGTAATACAGTATGATACAGCCCGAGACTCGACAATTTGTTGTCTTGACCATTTCCAAAGATGATTTACCATGATGGTATGGGAGGGGGCTTTGTCCAACGGCTTGATGGTCTAGAGGTATGATTCCTGCTTTGGGTCACTATATGCAGGAGGTCCCGGGTTCAATCCCCGGTCAAGCCCTTCTTTCCCTTTTTTTCTTCATATCTTCCTGCGCAATGAAACAAGAAGCTCCCGTCTGCCCAATGCATCGATCGAAGGGCAAGTCGACGTCCTCAGAATGTTTTGGAAAATATGCGAGCGGCAACGCCCGGAGGCGAAGCAACATTACAAATATTTTACACCATGCAAAGTTTACACCAGATGGTACTTCTTGCCGGCGTGCGAGACACCTCAGAGCTTCCCCGCGCCCTCGACACCCCAACCCTTCTCGCCCTCTCCAAACATCTCGGCAAATGCACCACCGATCTCACCCAGCATGTCCTGCGTGACCACGCCCCTGCCCTTCTTCGAGAACGCGCGGCGCGAAGCCGTGCGTGTCACCATCGACCCGCCGATGGCTGCTAAGAGCGGGATGCGCGAAAGCGGGAGGGTCTTATCTCTGCGTGGAAGGTGAGTATGTGGAGGATGTCGGGGGGCTGAGGCAAGGCGCAGACGTACCCGAAGGCCCCTGTCTCGTAGCACTTGCCCCATGCGAGCATCGCGCCGACGTTGCCGCTCAAGATGTCGCCTTGCCCACCACACCGCTTGTACCCGCCGGGTGTGTCCACGACGACCTGTTCTTCTGTTGATTGGCTCCCGGAGAGCTGATTGTACGAGGCTCAGCGGAGGGGGGCCATGTGCGGTTGCCGCGAGTGCGTACCGTGCTGCCTGTGTCCGTCGCGATGATGTCCTCTTTATTCTTCTGGAGGATGGTCACGCCGCCGAGCACGCGCGATATGCACATGGCGTGCTCGTCTGGTGGGCTCTTCGGATCCACGCCCTGTAGCCCATGCAGGTGTGAGACCTCCCTCGGCAATCGTGGGGATCGAGAGGTTTGCACGTACAGCGTTGTCACTCAGCCGCTTGAACTCCATGACGTTTGGTGTGAGCACGGCTTTGCGGTAGCCCTTGATGAGGCTCAAATCCTGGCCGACCATCCATAGCGCATCCGCGTCGAGGACGATGTACATGTCCTATGGCCAGAGTATAGCATGTGTCTCAGCACATAGCGATTGCGAGGGGGGAAGCGGGTCGCACCTGCTCCTTCGCGATGTTCAGCGCCAGCTTGGCGAAGTTCTGCATGTAGTCCTCCCGCCCAAGGCCCGGGCCGATGACGAGGACATGGAGGCGCTCCAGTAATGACGAGAGAGCGGGTTTCACTTCAGCGGGCGATCTTCGTTGCCCATTGGACCCCGCAGACACGGCGATGGTCAGCGTTCCGCCTAGCGATGCGTGCGAGCGCAGATGCTCACTGGTCCTCGCGCAGGATAGGGTGGACGATGAGATCGGGTGAGTAGGACTTGATCGCACCGGCAGCGGTTGGCGAGCATATGACGTGCGAGAGATCTGCGCCGATGCGGAGTGCTGACATTGAGGCGAAGAATGGCGCTCCTGTGTAGCTTCACGATACAAGCCTCAGATGCCACAGCTCAAAGGGTAGAGAACGATGGACGTACTCGAGCGCACCTCCCAGAACACCGACCCGACCAGACTGGCCCTTGTGGAGGGAACCATTGAGAGGCGGGATGAGCTGTCTGATTTCGTTCAGGAGCGGGCGGGGTACGGGCATCTTGATTTCATAAATTTTTTCGTGAGTCGTTAGAGCAAGCCGAGATGTCGCGGTCGTATGTAAAAGAGGAGATGATCACAAATTATGTACGGGACGAGCACGGGTGGCCCAGTGACGTCTTCACTAGGGACCTGCAGTGGGGTTAGGTCCACCGCGCTGCACCGGCGCCCCGTGACCACCAAATCCGGTAACTTCAGTCTCGCCACCAAGACGGCCTCGATTGCGGTCCGCCACCAACATGCAATCATGACCATCGGCAAGTATACTACTATTTCGGTGCGCATATTTACCACTGTCGTTCATGGCGCTGTACGTTGAGAGATCCTACTACTAAGCCTAGTCACGTCGGTGTGTAGTTTAATGCCCGCGCTGGCGTCGATTCTGATCACGATTCTCTTCTGCCTACGGTCCTTGCTCGACCGTGTCCGCACGTACAACCCCCGACCTGACCACGTCCGCAGAGTATTCCACTACACGCTTATATATTTCTATCGCTTCCGTATGTAACCGACAAGTCTACTCAATATGCCTTTTTCCAAGCTTGCAATTGCGCAGATGGTTAACGTTAAGCCATCGCGTACGTCGCTCACTGCATGAATGATAGATGACAGTATTGACGAGCTCGGCACGCGATCTCGAACGACTTAAGCTGTTCGTGCGGTGGTTATGAAGATCTTAGCACGAACACTTTAGTTCGTTTGAGGGATATGGGAAGGCGTGGAAGACGTGGACAGGTAGAGCGGGAATCTGGCTCACCAGCTCCTAGAGACACTCAAGGCGCACAGGGACTCGCTCGATCGTTACGACTTGGTGTCGTACGAGCTGTTCCGCAAGGGAGGCCGCTAGGTACATAAGGCCAGTCAGAACATGAACAGATACGAGGCGAAGGCAGTTCGAGAAGCAGACGAAGAAGGCAGATGGATTAGGCAAGGGGTTCCCGAAGAAGTTGGTTGGGACGCCTAGCTAAAGGGGAGGCAAGAAGACAAGCTGAGGCGTGGATACGACTTCGTTCCTCGACACGCTGGCGCCAACAGCGGGCAGTGGGCTCAGCTGAATGTTGCGAACATCGAGTAGTCTTGCTTTGTTTTCGTTGGCGAGATACAACACGTATTCTCTGGCACGGTAGAGAGGGCTCTTTTTCTTGTTGCATGTGCGTCTTCCTCAGATTGCAGAAGGGTCGGCGTGTAACATTGCATAAACCTTCACAGCCAAAAGCGTGTCAGCCAGGAGAAATAACTCGCGAGCCTATAACCTCCGGTGCGACACTATCTTTCAACGTAGTACTGTACATGCATGTTCGATGCTTTTGTAATACTAGGATGTAATCATGTACTTACGGCAACTTGAACGGCCGCGATAAACATGCAAGACAAGCAACTTCGATCCAATAACATTGACCTTTAGTACATAATCACTCGTCCTGTTCAGACGATCTAATGTATTTTGTCACCCGTTCCAGCCGCATGTCGAGTCCCATTGTACCTGCTACACGTAGACGCTTGAGCGTGGGCTTTTCAACTTCAGAGACACGGGTCAAGACATCTGGATTGTGCCCAACAAGCCAAGTTGCGTGGAGAGTGTCGAGCTTCTTCACTACACGAGTACGTTTCCGATTCTCCCCTCCAATGGTGCAGATGAGCACGGCAGATGAAAGGAGCAGGACAGTTGATGCGGCGAGCCCGACTGCGACCTGGAAATTGAATCTGTAAGCGGCATGACGATCATCGAAGTGTTGCAACCAGTACCGCAACCACATTGATCTATAGAATTCCTATGTATCAACGAACGGAATTTGGCCTTGGGAAATCACGATGACTCACATTCAACCTCGAGTATAGCTGAGCACCAAGAGTTTGGCTCTTGTTGATTGTAAGGTCGCTGTGTTGTTGGGACGCATCCAAAGCGTGTGCCACTGATCATGGGCAAAGTCAGCATTAGTTGTTGGGCAAGTACTGACTGTACTAATTACTAACCTGCCCAGTACGTTGCTGCTGTCATCTCACCTGAAGCATAGATATAAGTCTCAGTGACAATGCGTCTGCGAAAGAAAACATGGAGCTCACTCAAGGCAACCTCAACGTCAGCAAGAGTGATCGTTGAATTGAGTTGCATACCCGGGCCACCTAATCTCATCAAGAGATATCTGTCGATCAATTACGATACGGTTTCAGCGTGAACAAGGAAATGGAAGCATGAGTACGGACTGTTCCGAAGCCGACATCATGACACTGCCGTTTCGAAGAGAAGCTTGGGTTTGAGAGGATGCATATAACATATGCGACCACTGGCAAATACGGTAAGCGACACTGTACAAAAGTTCCGCATAGTCGAGCGGCCCACCGCATCCACTTGGTTGTCTGTGCTCGGATAGTCTGAGTTGAGACTGTACTCATCGCTGGCAGTGTCGTTCCACATTATGGGCCGCCATTCGGACCACGTCGGTGATCGCAGCCTGCCTACTGTCTCAAGGGAGGTCAAGTTCCGTGTCACTGCATCGACGGTGCCACTCCGGGCAACCCAGGATAAGGTGCACCCGATCATTTGTGTTGCCTTATAACTGAAGTTACCTAGAAGTCGAATAAATCAGGGAAGTAGAAGTGGGTATGGCGTGCGTGAATACGGACCTCTCACTGCAGAGCCTGATTTCCCTGTGCTGTCGATGACATTGGTCGTGATCAGGAAAGCTGCGTTCCTCCCCTGCGAACGTCGCATTATCCAGAACTGATTCTGATTGTTGACTTCACACATAATTTGACAACGTACCAAAGGGATGCTGGCCGCTGACGCCTCATATGATGTATAACTAACGATTGCTTCCGTAGTATTACGACCCTGATTGAAGCCTGTGGCACGATCATCAGCACGCGGGTCAGGAGAAGGACGATCATCTCACTCAATGCATCAATGTTCTGTGAAGACCACGTCAGGTTGTAGCCATCATACGTCGCGCCGATGGTGGTATATGAATAACCGTCGCCCGGATCGTACTCCAGAGATATGACAGACGCATTTGGGACAGTTCCACAAGTGACATTTGCGGTCGTTGCATTGACTGCGACCTCGCCAACGGTATTGCTGGTGTCAAGAATGTCGTATATCGTATCGCCCGACAATCCAACGGTAGAGATTCCGTCGGCGACGAGCAAGCGTGGGAGAAGCTGCGCGGCGGTGACCCATGGATCTGCCGCGGCGTCGTCCTGAGTACTGATATTCAACGTGTTCAACACTGGCATCCCGACCGTCGTCGGAATGGGTGTGTTCATGTAGTCGAAGTTCTGCATGTTAAATATCGCAGGAGTGGTGATCGGCAGAATCGACAGCGAGCCCAGATATACCGCAATCTGTGTGACAACCAAGGGGCTCGAAGCCAGGGAGATCTGCTGCCAGAGACCAGTGAGCGCTGATACGATGC